TTAACGACATAATCGTTATCGTATCGGTGAGTGAAAAAGCGCTCCGTTGCTGACCATGTATTTTACTTGACCCTATGTCGTTCGCCGACAATCGGATCCGTTTTGTCGTTATCGTGTCGTGTAATGAAAAAGCGCCCTTAGGTTCAAAAGAACGTTTTGGAAAATTTAATTTTTTATAACGATTTAACTGTGATAAATCATTAGGGAAAAAAAGTTTAAAAAAACTTAATTTTGTTTGCCGTCACTAGTTTAATTGACGTTTGAACCACGTCTATTTATTTGAAAAACATTTTAGATGCACGATAAATATAATACTATATCATAATTTTATACATAAAAAAAATATATAAACACAAGAAATACAATCTAACTCTTAATAATACTCTATTCCATTATTCAAAATAAAATATTTAGATTACTACTCATATCTAATATTACTAAAATATTTAATCATAACATTGAGAAAGAAAAAAAATGATAGAGGAAAAAAATATATATCTACATTCAATCCATTCCATTTGTCACACTTTTCTTTTGACCTTCATCTATTTTTCGTTGAAGAGAGACACAAAATATATCATTTTTCTTTTTTTCTTCGCAACGCGCACATTCACTTTTGTTTTCACTTTTTTAGCAAACAATTCTTATAAGAGACTAATTCATATTTGAACCAAAGTGAAATTTCTTTTTGAGCACTAATGAACATCAGAACTCGATGGATGGGACACTGTAGGGTCATCGGATGGGATACACATTACTGGTTTCAGGGGACAATCTCCAGCCAACTTCTCTTCTGAAAACGGCGAGGGAAAATCGTCCTTCCTTCCATCTACATAAGCATTTCAGACGCGACGAGGTACAAGTAGTACGGGTGGAAAATCGCCCTTCCTTCCTTCAACGCTTTTTTACTGCAGCAATTTTTTCCCCTGGTGGATGATGGAATGGGGAAAATTTCAACTTAGCAGTCAGCCAGACTACGTTACGCTTAGTTTCTGCGAGATAAAAAATGGGTAAGCTTCCTCCGCAATTAACTATCCTGGCGTCTTGTAATAACAGGGCTACATCCCTGTTATCAGTGTTGTATTTAGCTTGAAATAATGCAGTCGTAAGCCATCAGACGTTTTAAACAGGTTTATTTAAATGTAGGCTGGTATCGATAACAGTTCACATCCACACTCCCTACGGGAAGGGGATGGACAAGACTTTTGACAATTCCGGAACAGCTTATCAGAATCACATCATGATGAAAAGGACACGCAAAACTAGTGTTCCTACGTTTTATACCAACACAGATTTGAGGTAAAAAGGCACACTTCGTACATTCCTTGAAACCTTACGCATTAAGGAAAATCATTTACTGCTTCCTAATATGGAAGTGAAAGAGGGAAAGATTCTAAAAATAACTCTTCCTTTGAAATATAAATCTATTTATATTTCAATGGTATGTTTTCAGCCTTGAATTCCCAAAATAGAATCTCTCTACGCTTATTCTTTAACAAAGACATTTTATGAAAACGAAAGAGTTTTAATTCTTTTATTAATACAAAAGTATTTAATTTTTGTATTACACCCCCCCCCCCAAAAAAAAAAAATTTTGGTAAGCCGAAATAAAAAAAATGTAGAATACTTTAAATTTAAAATTTTTAGGTTGGTACGACTGTTCCTTTTTCCCTACTAC